CTCAATGATGATTATTCACATTTAAATTTTGAATTTCCCTTGCAGGGGGTACCTGAAGAAGCTCAATGATGATTACTCAGACAAGTGGCTCAGTGTCCCCACGTGTGAGAACATCAGCAGCACTTGGTGCAATTTCTCCTCCATCATCACCACCACTGCCTTTTATTATCTGAGAGTGCAGGCCAGGCAGGGACACAACAGATCCTGCCTGTCCAGGGAAGTCAAAGTGGATCCTCTGAAAACAAGTAAGGAAATTATTTCCTGAAATGTTCTCCTGTGTCTTTATGAGCTGACAGGAGAGGGGATTTCACAAGAATACAGTGGAAAGAAATGAAATATTTCTCAGGACTTGAGGTTCTGAATAAAACTATGAAATGATACTTTAAACTTTTTTGTTGTTGTTGTTGTTAAAAATGAGCATGGATTTCACTGACAGTGTTTGATGCAATATTTTTAGCTGTCATTTTCTCCGTTGGATTTCAGTTCTTTATTTTCTTGTTTTCAGATGGGATTGGCCCTCCTGGTGTGAGGCTGGACCTCAGTGACACTTTGCTCCACATCCTCATTTCTCCTCCAGGAGGAGCTGAGGATGAACTCATGAGGGACAACTATGATTTGTCCTACAGGATCCTGTACTGGAAGAATTCTTCACATAAGGAGGTGTGAACTAATTAAATACAGTATAAAATGGAGTCTGACTTAAATCTTCAGTTCCCATTCTCCCTCAGGAGCTCCTTTCCAAAGGAGGCACATTTGTGGTGGATCACTCTTTAAAAAGTCAATTTATTGGGTTTTTAAATTAAAGATGCCATCAAAACCCTGATCAGTGGGAATTTTATCACCCAGTGGTTGAGATTTTTATGTAACTCTGTTAGAAATCTGATCACTGTGGTTTGTATCTCCCAGTGGTGGGTTAAAATCTCCATTTCCATGGATGTGGCTGTGTGCAATGTGATGGGCAAGGCTCCTCAAACACTGAAGTCCTGCATGCTTTTAGCTCACATTTTAATGGATCTCTCCGTGTTCTTTAAATACTTCTTAGGGTCAAATATTTCACAGAATTGGTAAAAGGGGGGCAGAAGAGAAGAAGCAAACTGCAGCTTGGAATTGTGACATTTCAGAATGGGAGAAGCACTTGGTTCTGTGCCCAGCAAGTGTTTGCTGAGTTTTGCTCAGGAGCTGGGGGAGTGATTTATTTATTTTATTCCATCTGGATGCCCAGGGAAGGGCTGGAGTTCCTGGAAGTGTTGCAGACACCTCTGGATGAGCTGGGAAACCTCTCACATTTCACAGAATCATTCTCCATCCCAGCCTGCAGTTCTCAGTCTGTGTTTGACATCTCTGGGATCTGATCCCTCCTTTTTTTTGTTTTTTTTTTCTTTTTTTCCCTTTCGTTTCTGGCAGGAGGAGGTGAAGCAGAAGGAGGTGAAGCAGACCATAGCCACGGTGTCAGGGGTGTCCCCCTCCAGCCTGTACTGTGTCAGGGTGCAGGCCTTCTCCAAGCCCTACAACAAAAGCAGTGCCTTCAGCCAGCAGGAATGTGTGCACACCCCTGCAGGTGACACTACCTGGAAACTCCTCCTTTTCTGCAGCTGAATTATTGTCCTTTCACAGCTTGGGGCAGAGAGCTTCACTCCCCAGGGCTGTGTCCTGGCAGGGGGTGAGGAATTCCTGAATTCC